AACATGCGTCTTGTAATCACTGCTACCAAACTACTAAATATGCAACCAAGTATTTTAGATATTTAAAAAAATAGAGAACTCTTCTAATCTTAGTCTTTCCTTAAGCTCGTTAGACAATAGAACACCATAGGTCTTTTTATAGGCAAGATCAAGGACCATCTACCTTATTATTATAATAGTCCTCCATTAGTTCCTCCATTAAGAACTAATAAACATACTTATTATGACTCTTAATACTTAATTATTATTCTATAACAACTCTTTATTATCAATTAATTAATTATATTAATAGGATAATTAACTAAACATAAATTTTTATATGAGCCACATAATATTTTTTAACAAGGATTTCATGGCTTATTGATTCCATTCATAGTAGGATTTACGTTACTACTTTGTGATTGATATGTTTTATATGTGATACTTCTATCTAAAGGAATTTTTGAACATTTCTTTTACAGTAAATTTTATTTTCAAACTCTTTCCCATCCTCTTATTTTATATGTTTATGTTAGTATATGGAGTAGAGAGTGTCACACATCACATTACATTTATTTAATTGTAGGGATTAGAAAGCAATGCATTTTCATGACAACATTATAGCTAAAGGATTTTAGTTGTGCAAGATAATTATGTCTCATGCGAGAGGTATGTGATGTATAAAAGGACTAATAATTAAATAATTACTGACTAAATTGTAAATGGACTTAATGAAGTGGTTTCTGAAAATAAATTGTTATTTGGTGGGAATAGAATTTTAAGGGGTTATTGTTTGTTGGGTGACATCAATTGTCCCATAGTGGAGGTTTAGGTGGGTTAAGTCATAGTCGAGACACATGGTGCTTAGGCTGCTATGGTTAAGTAGAAAGATTTGCGTCTTAACTATCAACTATAACTTTTAACCTAATGGTAAGCACTCGATCCAACAATTGATATCAAAGCTAAGGTTGTCTGTTTAATTCTCAATAGGAGCAATTGTTGAGGGAGAGATTTTTTGTCGGGTGACATCAATTTCCCTATGGTAGAGGCTTAGGTGGGTCAAGTCACAGTTGAGACATATGGCATTTGGGTTGCTAGTATTAAGTAGAAAGAGCAACGCCTTGACTATCAAATATAGTTTTTGGCCTAGTGGTTAGCACTCGATCTAACAATAAACTGTGGAGAAAAAAGGAAAATTAGAAGGGGAGTTGAATAGTGTTACTAAAAAGTCCCACTTATTGTAGTGTACTGAAGTAGTAACCGTGATATAGATATAAAAGAGCAAACAAAGTAAAGAATGAACTTAGAGATTTATACTAGTTCATCCCAACCATTAAGACTATGTCTAGTTTTTCATCTAACTAGATCAAATTCCACTATCTCATCAAAGATACAAATATTCTTTACCAAGTCACTTCTGACTCAATCCTAAGTATTCTTTGAATTGTCTCTTCAAGCAATCTACTATAGTATTCTTTTCACACAAAATTTGTCCAAGCTTCAATAATAAGTATTTTTTTATAGTCAAGTCTCTCCTGCTCAAACCCAATAACCTAGAGTTACTAAGATTTACAACGTTGTTTTGTCTTCCTATCAAGACATGATACAATAAATTAAGTACAAAGTCTTTTCACAGATAGAAAAAATGTAATTTTTGCAATTATCGATCTCTTTTTTTTTTTTTTAACTTTAAGTTTCCTTTTATATGGTTTTAGTGAAGATGATAGTTGCAAGTTATTGAGCTTCTCTCTTATGACTTGCTTCTTTTTTCTTCATGATTTGCTCTCTAAGAAAAGAAGTGTTTGTTGGTGTAATAAATGTTTTCATTAAATGTTTTCATTAAATTGTCACTTGTTATTTGATTAAGGAAGTTTCTTACCACCTTTTGACACCGAGTATAGGTAGACCATGCATGTGTTAGGATGATGCAGTAATGAAACAAATTTTGATTGCAACTTTTTGTGTTTGTAGAGATTTGTTTATCCTTTTCTAACGCAAAAAATGTATTTCTTTCTTTTTTTCTACAATGTTGGTACCAAGGAAACATTTTAAAAATCGATTTGTTAAGGAATTGTTCAAACATAGTTAATATCTGGTTTAGAGATTGTAAATAATAAAAGATTTAATGCATATCTCTTTTAATGACTAAGGGTTTGTCTTATCCTCTAACAGAATCATCTTAATGAACATATCATTATATACATGATTCTTCTTATTAACGATTTGCATCTTAGTGAATGATTTGTTTTTATGTTTGTTATCAACAAAACTTAAGAATAAGGGAGTTTAACATTGTCTTTTGACCTAACAATTATAAATACCCACTAATGTGAAACAAAGTCCCTCTCTTTTATAAAAAGTATTCTCTTAAATCCTAGCAATCACGAAAAATAAAGAGAGTAGAAGAAGAGTCAAAAGGAGTGAAATCTTAGTTTTCATTTTCTATCAAGAAGATTAATGTGCTTTAAGGTTAAAGGGGATTCCCACTTTGGAGAAAGATACACAATATTCCTTTGTTATGTATGAGTTTCAAATATCTATTGAGTATAAGACAACTTTTAGGGTACAAATCTATTTATAAAATATTAGATAACCATTTTTATTATCACTATAAATAATATTAAATATCAGTAAAAATTTATTTATTATAGTGTTTATGAATGATATTTTCTATTTCAGTTATGCATAAATCCTAATTATAAAATATAGGGATTTCTTTCTCTCTTTTCGCTGCAAATAAGAATGCTGATTCGTGAAAGTATTTTCGCTACTAGCTAGTATCACACAATATAAAGAATTAATTTCGAATTGTTGAACCTATATTATAATGATTTTAGAATCAGAATTATTAAGTTGTATCACGCTTGATTGGCATATAAATGGATTTTATTTCTCTTGTAAGTGTCTTATGAAGTTTCGGTTGGGAAGTTTTATTCTATACATTGTTTCTTCAATAATTGTGAATGAAAACCAATTGTACGTAAACTGTTTAAATCAAGTATCAAAATTTCAATATTCTATTAAAACACGCTGCACTGCTTTTTTTTTAAAGTCTTTCGAAATTAAGAAAAAAGGAAAATACTTGGTCGTGTGGAGAGCTTTTATATATTGTGATGTTGAGTTGGTTGAATGTAATTGAAACCAAATAATATGATTAAATTTTGGTCTATTATATTATGAATGACGGTGGTGATGTGAATAGTTCACTCTCAAACTTCTTTTTCCGTCAAACCTTCAGCTTCATTTCACGCTCAACACAGTCGTTCGTGAGCTAATTTGCGATGCAAGCATTTCGCTAAGTGTTCTCTACATTGTTCTCTACGGGGATAGTGATTTCGCAAGAGTTTTGTATCACTTATTGACCTGCAGTTGGAACTTAGAAAGTATTTTTGCACCACTCGAAATTGAATTTCTCTTTTTGAGATTTGAGCTTTGGTTTCATTCTGTTTAGTAGTAAAATGTTTGGTTATCATGGTTGTCAAAATTTCAATGCTACTGTGAGATTAGAATGGTGGAGTGATCTTGATTCCAGCATACTCATTTATGCTTGGATCATGTTCAGATATTTTGTTTAGTCGTATAATTGTCATGATCTTACAATCCTACTAAACCCACTATAGCCAAAAATGCAGATGAATGAGCTGCCAAACATTTTAAAGGACCATACCAAACCCTGAAGATGACAACTGAAGACTGATGGAGATGAGAAATCCAAATTGTTGTGGTTGCTTGCCTGTTGTGACCTTGGCTGCTAATGAAATCTACAATTAAAGTAGTGTTTGGTCCAATTTTTTTTTTTATCCTTTCTTACCCTTAAAAGGAAAAAGCTGAGTCAAGGACATTTGGAGAAAATCTCTTGAAAAATTAAGGTGTTTAATTTTTGTAAAAGAAAATGGGGAAAAGTAGCTTTAAAAAATAGCCTAACTGATGTAGCTTTTAATAAAAGCTGCATACCCTAGCCTCTTTCTCCCTCCCATCCTGAATAAATAATGCAGGTCAATTTTTGTAAGACAATGGAATGGAGCTTTTAAGCTAAAACTACTAAATAACTTAATGCAACTTTTAAGCCTAAAGAAAGTTAAGGCCAAATGTACCCTAAAATTAGATATATTCTTACTGACAGTGGCTTGCTGACATAAAGATGATGGTAAACATTATTGAAATCTATGATTATAACCATGATGCCAGACCTTTCTGCAAGACTAAAACTGATGTATCTCTTGCTTTGTGGGTTTTCTTTTTTGACAATGGTTGGAGGGGACTCGGGAGAGCTGAGGGAAATATCCTCACTCAATAAAAAACACAGTACACTCTACTTTCTTTTTTGCCAAGATATTATACAATGAGCCACATAACCAATTATTATACTAAGTACAAAATTCCTATTTTGTATAATGGTTTATAAGCATGTTGTGATTTTAAAGGTATTTTGCATATTGGTGCAAAATATTCTTTAGGTGTATCTATTTTCTTTTTCTGTAATCTGTATTATGAATTCATGATTTACTGGTCAACTCCTCCATCCAATTTTTGGTAGGATGCACAAGTATGACAACCCTGATGATCTAAATGTACTTCAGTATCACATTTAACGAAGATTTCAATTTTTGATGTTCAAAGTAATCTTATAAAAACATTTAGAAGCTGGTAATGGTATTGATATATCAACTTAATGCTTTGGAGCTTACTTTGTCCTTATGCTTTCAAATCAATCATCTATAGTGTATTCCTTCCTCTAACTACATTAATCTAAATGTTCAGGATCCTTGTCGCCTTGGAGTCAAGGATGTTGTGAGATTATGCACTGAAGCTGGCGTTAAGGTAATATATAATTATATGTTTGATGAATATAGTTTTGATATTGATTAAATAGCTCTAGTTCCAGCTACTAACTTGATTTTTTCTCATTTCTTATGCCTCATTCCTCTTGCATATATTTTTTCTTTCCTTTTTTTTTAGCATTTCTCTCTATCTATATTTCATTACAGTTTTTATATGGAGAAAATTATTTCACACTTGCATTAAAGAAACAAACTCTTCATTCAATGGAAAGTGCAGGGACATTGAGAGTTCTGTTGACGTATTTGAATGCGTTCCCAAGAGAACTTTGGAGTGTTTCAACTCATTGATGACCTCTATCTCATTGTGATGCGGTTGATGATGTGGTTGAATTTTTTGGTTTGATGATTGATGAAGGTCTTGTGCCGGATGAAGTAACCATATCAACAACACTGAAGGCGGTGTCAGTGTCTGCTTCAGCAAGCTTCATGAGTTCCCAGTTACTACATTGATATGCATTAAAGTCTGGACTTGGAGGAGATGTTGTAGTTGCATTCCTTAGAGACTTGGATTATATGTCATTCACTTCTCTTTCAGGGCGGCAAAGTGAAGATAGTGCAAAATCATTCCTTAGAGAAGAATGCATTTATAAGGTAACCAAACATTGTATACATGTGTTATGTTTGATCAAATCATCTTAGTAGCGCCTCATAAGATTTTCTATTGTGAATTGGTTACACACTTTCTTGTATTTCCTTTTTAGCATATAGACCCTTGTTTAAGTGATTTTATGCCATTATGTAGCTTGAAGTTGAGGCTCATTTAATTTGTTGTTTGTTGATAAAATAGGAAAAATCAGAGAGGGATAGGAAAATTGAAGAGTGGCTTCCAATTATGTCAAAAAGGAATGGAAAATGGTGGTACTCAGCTTTCCACAATGTTACTACCATGGTTGGAGCTGGTGTTCTTGGTCTTCCCTATGCTGTGTCAGAGCTTGGACGGTATATTTAAAACCCAAAATGCATTGAAGCTTCAACTTATTTCCTATAAGATAAAATAATGTTATTTTTAAACATACTTTAATGCCATTGTGTTATAAGCAAGAAAAATATTGCATATTGCATACTGCATTCTAAATTCTAAAATATCTTTTATTTTCAAATAATAATATAAACAGATCATACTAGCATAGTGCACTATACAAGAAACTAGGTGTAATGTGTTTCTTAGGAAAGAGAGGTATAACAGCTTAATGTCTTTCAAATAATTTAGGAGAATTGCCATAAGGATTAAAGAGGCAGGGTATTGTGTGCAATTTAAATAAACTGCATGGATTAAAGAGGTAGGGTATTGTGTACAATTTAAATAAATTACATGGAATGTGAGTGTAATTTGTTCTGATATTAAAGAATAAGACCAAAATCAGTTATGTTTACCAATTTTAGTAGAAATTTTTAGCTTTAGTTATCCTTTTATCTTATATAGTTACATGAACTTTAGTCTTTAGTTTTTAGTTTTTATAATTAAAAATAATTTATTTTAGTGTACCTTCTTTTTATAGTTTCATAAATTTTATACCCTATACAAATAGAAGACAAAGATTAAAAAAGAACAAATATGACATGCATAAAGACTAAATTGAACATTTTTAACTAAAAGTAAAGTTTATGATATTATAGAGGTAAAAAAAATTTGATTAAACCAAGTTTTTATTTAGTAGCAAAGCTCCTCTAAGCTAGCAAATGGAAGCAACATTTGTTAAGTCTTTGATGATTTAAGAACCCCAATGCCCTCTTCTACAGGGGTCCTGGTGTAACTATACTGATCCTCTCATGGATCATCACCTTGTACACACTATGGCAAAAGGTTCTGAACTTTGTGTTCTTCCTTAACTTGTGATCAATTTTGCTGAGCAATAAAAGCAATAATGAGTTTTGCCCTTCACAGACTTTGAAACAAAGAAACACAAAATAATTAACTTGGAAAAGTAATTTTAACATACATACACAAACATAAAGAATAAAGAATGAACAATTGTGCTAAGATTCTGCAATTGAAAGAGATTAAAGGGAAAGATCCTGATCATTTGTGTTTTGCCGTTTCATCATAATTGTATATCAAAATATGTGAGGAAATTAAAAAAAATGCAATTTTGTGGCGGTTTAAAACCGTCAGAAATTGTATACATTAAAATGTGTTTTTGTAGTGGCTTAAACCGCCACAAAGTAATTGAATTTTCTGACGTCCAGCATTTACAAAATATATGCCGCAAACCGTTTTTTTAGTTTTCTCACATTTTCGGTCAAACCACATAACATAATTTTTTTATTTATTTATAGTTAAATATTATTTTTTGAAAATAAAAAACATTATTAAAACAATGCATGAAAAAGAAGGAATTGAAGATTAATAATTTGTAGTATATAAAATTACTCACCACTAATGCATCATAGTGGAGACCATCGTAAATCAACATCACTCTTTCAGAATAGTTACTTCCCGGTCAAAAGTATTCACCCAAAATGAGAATAGAAAAGTTCAGTCATAAGAGATTGCAAAACTAGGAAGCATATAATATGCCATATAGAATGCATGCAAGTGGCTTACCTGACCATACAAATCACATCGGGTTGTCTGGATATCATATGCTGCAATTTCACGTCCATAATAATCTGCTAATATCGAAAGTTCAATTGCACCTTCACAAAGGAACATAGAGATTAATTAGCACATCAAAGTAACAAAATAACATTGGTTTATTGTTAAATTTGCTGTTACGAGAGTTTTAGATACCCTTTGAAACTCATGTTAAACTCAACAACTACAGAATCCATACTCACAAAATTTAAATCAAGAGCCAACTTTTAGAAACAAAACAGAAATTTAAACAATTTCCAATTGTTGCAGAAGATTGTATAGTCATCAAGATTTTTATTTTTTTTCTTCCAAAATTTAATTAAATTTTTATG